AAGCAAGAAAGAGCAAGCATCCGTCCCTGTGTTTGCACTTTTGTCTCTACATCTCACTTAGTGCGTGGGTTTCTCTACGTCTCTCTGAATGTCTCTCACGTTGCATCTCTATCTGAATTGGCCTTAAATGAGACAAATCATTACATGAAGTTTTAAAAGTTACACTTTTCTCACAAATTTAATTCTAGATGAATATAATTGTTAAATGTGAAGAAGAAGATAGTCTGTTGAGTTTTTTTTTTTTATGTTGGATGGGAAAGGAGATTTTTAATCACAAAGTAAGTAAAAATATTAACCAAAGAAAAGAATAATATATTTAATTATAAAAAAGATTATTCCACGTGTTCTTACCAAATTAACATTTTAAATTAAATGAATTCTTAGTTCGTACATTGAAGAAGTATGATGTAAATAAGATGTCCTTTTTATACAATAATTTTGGCAACAAAATCATAAAAATTGGTAACTATTACGTTCTTGGAGGGATCTATCTGAATGAGCTGCAAAGATTTATAGACTGGATGTTCACTCGTGTTTCTTTATATAGGTGAATATTGGAAAACAAGGTGGTTATCCAAAAATAGGTGATAGTACATAAATTGTGATACAATGATATGACAGTCATATACACATGAAAAATCCTGTTTTTGACACTTAAGAGCCAATACCTTAGGATAATGTTCAGAATATAATATTAATAAAGAAGAATATGTAGCTCGAATGCAGTGTGATTGTTACTTTTCATTACATACATGGTTATATGAAAATAATGTTGGTATAGTAAGATACAGATTTTTTAATTCATTTTAAAACTTTCCTGTGCTTTCCAAAGTTTCTATGATGTGCATGCATTTCAAAATCAGAAGAAATATACCTTCTCTTCCCATAACAGTAAAAAATGAATCAGTTCATCTTTTCTCATACCCCTCAAAGCATGATCTTCTGGGTTTGTTTCAGAAGGGAAGACCAGTGGTGCCTGGGTGACTCGGTCAGTTAAGGGTCTGAGTCTGCATTTAGGCTTAATTTGATCTCAGGTCCTGGGATGGATCCACTAGTGGAATCGTGCTCAGGAGGGACTCTCAGGATTCTTGCCCTCCCCCCGACCACGTGCTCTCTCGCTCTCTCTCACTTTCTCTCTCTCAATAAATAAATTTAAAAAGTAAAATAAAAGAGAAGACCATAAAATAAAGATATCTTAAGAGTTACATAAGTGGATTTGATATTTTTAGACAAAAGCCTTACCCTAGTATTGATAATACGATTTTCTCTATCAATCCAATCATTTTTGGATGAATATTTATCCTCATTTAGTAAGCTTGTCTGGCTGTAGCACACACAGGTTAAAGTCTGTGGAATTTGGTTTATAAACACCTTCTTACTATTTTCTGGAGTGCGCAACACATTTTATAAGTAATGATACTTGCTGAGACTCATCTCTGACCTGGAAAGCATCCAAGAGCTATACTACATAAACGATTGTTCTCTGTTCAAACAGAATAAATCCTAAGATTAGCAGCACTACTGTCTTATACAGAAAAATGATAGCAGAAAATCCAAGAACGAACTCCATGGCAGGTTGGCCATCTCCAACATGCCCATGGGAGGTGGGAACCAGTACACAGCTGCTCCTCTGTCTTGAAACGAGCTGCTTGTATCTTGAGTGAGCTTTTTTCTCTGTCTGCAGAATGTTTACCTTCAACCCTGTTGATGCAGGGCTAAGGAAATCAGCAGCTTGGAGTCTTATTTTCAATATATCCACACTCTTGCTTGCCTCCTAGTTTATTTATTTAATTTAATTTTTATTTTATCAAATAAGGAATTCTATAGTTTAAAAAAACCAAGTCGTACTCTCAAAATAAAGGTAACCCCTTGCTATCAATACCTGATCCCTAGAAGTAAACGCCCTTCATTATTTTAACATATTTTTGGTTGTTATCTAGTCACATATTTCTCAATAAAATATGTATGTTACTAATTTCTTGATTTTTTAGTTTTAATTGTCATCTACCTGGCTTCCTACTCACATATTCTTATAGATTGTTTCTTCTCCCTCTTTGGCACCAATATAATTATCCCAATAATCAGGTTTTTTTAAGTTATTATAAAGAAATTATAATATGTACATTTTATTCACAGCTGAGGCATATCATGTAATTAAAAGAGCATTACCATTTTATTTTTTCAACTTTTCTTTTCTAATAATTGCTTCTTAGAAAATTTGGATTTCTAAACACCCAATGAATTAGGATCTAAATGAGTTAGTATTGAAATACTCTCAAATTCTCCATTGCAGCTGAAATTTCTCATTATAATTTAACATCACTTGGAGTATTTTTAAGTAATTCTGTTTATTTTTTTTCTTTTTTTTTAAAAAAGATTTTATTTATTTATTTGAGAGAGAGAGAGTGAAAGTGAGAGAGAGCACGAGAGGGGAGAAGTTCAGAGGGAGAAGCAAACTCCCCATGGAGCTGGGAGCCCGAAGCGGGACTTGGTCCCAGGACTCTGGGATCATGACCTGAGCCAAAGGCAGTTGCTTAACCAACTGAGCCACCAGGCATCCTTGTTTATTTTTTTTCTTGAAGACCATCCCCCTGGATAGCTTTAAGAATCAGCCATTGTCCCACCAAATGTGAACAGTATTCTTTCTGTCACTACAGATTAGTTTTGCTCTGAGATCAGAGCAGAAGAGTTTAACGATCTCACCATTTAGTATTCATACTTTTCTGTAACACTACTGTCTTCAGTAGATTCCTCAACCCCAGACTGGTGACTGTCTGGATGGGCTTCTCCAGAAAGTTAGTCTCTGGTATCTGCATAACACGTAGCGAGGGCAGACGCCCAGATGTATTGTCTATGTTGGAATATCTGAGGGTGCAGGGGCTACTTAGACATTTTCAATCAAGCCTTCTGCCTTCCTCATTCTTTTTGCTGCTTCCATAACACCTCAGAGCATGTTTTGTGTTCCCACCTGCAGGCCTTTATGCCAGCCCTTCCCACTGAGTTAATAGATAAAAATCTTTCCTTTAAGAATGAGAAGGAACTGAGATAAAGAATGCGCTCAGTTGTGTATTTTTAATTATAAGTGTCAGGGATATTGATTTTTATTGTTGTTGATGTATTATTATTTCTTGTTAATTTTATAATTATTTTTGGCAAGGATGGGAGTCGCTCAGGGGGAATCATGGATTTATCATAACTATACTTACAGTATCTTCTTACTCTAATTTATACTATGTTCTTACTCAGTTTTTTTGGTAAATATAATTGACATTTAACATTATGTAAGTCTTAGGTGTATAACATAATGAGTCTATATTTGTGTATATTGCAAAATGATCACCAAAATTAATCTAATTAATGTCCAATATCACACATAGTTATAAATTTCTTTTTCTTGTGGAGAAACTTTTAAGATTTACTCTTAGCAACTTTCAAATATGCAGCCCAGTATTTTTAACTGTACTCACCTTGCTGTATATAACATTCCCATGACTGACTTATTTTATATCTGGAATTTTGTACCTTTTGATCTCCTTTACCCATTTCACCCTCACCCCACTCCTTGACTCTGTTGTCTATATCAATGAGCTTTACATTGGGGATTATTCTGAGTTTTGTTTTTGCTTTTGTTTTTAGATTTCACATATACATGAAATCACATGGTCTTTGTCTTTGTCTGATTTATTTCATTAAGCATAACACCCTCAAGGTCCATCTGTGCTGTTGCAAATGGCAATATTTCCCTTCTCTTGGCTTAGTAATATCCCACTCTGTGTGTGTGTGTGTGTTTGTGTGTGTGTACTACAGTTTCTTTGTCCATTCATATGTTAGTGGGCACTTGAGTTGCTTCTGTGTCCTGGGTACTAAATTATACTGCAGTGAACATGGTGGGGGTGGGGGGCAAATAGCTTTTCCACTTATCCTTCACTTAAGTGCCCAGAAGTGGAATTGCTGGATCACATGGGAGTTTTATTTTTAATTTTTGGAGGAACCTCTCTCCTGTTTCCCATAGTGGCTGTACCAATACACATTCCCACCCACAGAGCACAAGGGTTCCCTTTCCTCTGTCCTTGCCAACACTTGTTATTTCTTGTCTTCTTTTTAAAATAGCCATTCTAACAGGTGTGAGTTTCTCATTTTTGATCAGGGTATAATTCATGTTAACATAGTGTCTGCTGAATGTAGAGTAAAATATAGTTCTATTTCTCTTTCAATTCTTAAGTATCAGTCAGAAGAAAAAATGTGAGAATATTGCATATTTAAAAATATTATTTATAATTGCCAAGTCATAGGGCCTGGTGATGGGTAGTAAGGAAGGCATGTATTGCATGGAGCATTGGGTATTATACATAATGAATCTTAGAGCACTACATCAAAAACTAATGTACTGTATGGTGACTAACATAACACAATGAAAAATAATAATATTTATAAGCAGTTGCCATAATATTTGCAAGTCAAATGTTATAGGGGTTAGATGATATCAGTGTATCGTTTATCCTATGCTAGGCCCTGGGTTTACTATATACTGCAGTATACAGGTGAGAGAGGTATTCTCATTTTTATAGGTGAATAAATGGAGAATCGCAATGATATTCAACCTTTTAGTTCAAAGTTATATAGACAATAAGTAGTAGAGCTAAGAGTACAAACTCAAGTATATTTTATAATTTTTTTAAAAGTAATGCTTTTTTTCCTGAAATATGCTTTCTTCCTTACCTGATCTCTACCAAAATAAGGCTTTCATAATCTGGAAGGTAAAGATCTTTTACCAGATATGGGGTAATAAAAGCTATATTATTCTAGGCCAGTGTTAGTTTCATTAGCTATTGTACGTGGTTCAGCAACAGTTAAACGTGATTTTTTTTTTTTTTACTTCCCTTCCATTATTGCATATGTGCAACTTACTTCTGGATATTTGCCAATAAAGTCATAGTAATGAAAGAAAGAATGGAGAACTGGAAATAATAAATTACAAGTAAAATCTTTTCTTCTAACAGAGAGAAGGAGAAAAAGATCATCAAGTGCGTTTGGCAGTTGGAAATGGTGTACGGAGTGATGTATGGAGGGAATTTTTAGACAGATTTGGAAATATTAAGATGTGTGAGCTTTATGGAGCTACTGAAGGAAACATTAGTTTCATGAATTACACTGGAAAAATAGGATCCGTTGGGAGAACAAATTTCTTTCACAAAGTAAGTACAGTATTTTCCTTCCATAAATATATTGAGGTCAGTTTACCTCTCTTCTAGACTTCCTGTTTATAAATTACGGTAAATACAATCACTTTTCCTTTTTCTTTTCTTTTTTTTTTTTCTTTTTTAAGTTGAGGACGTCTATAAAGTCATAGCTTCTAGGTGAACCATAGGTTATAAAAGCCTCAACTGTCTCCCAGGTTTTCCTGTATAATGTGGGGATAATGATACCCAAGTGTTTTTTGCTCTGTCTTCAAAGTTAATAAGATAATATATAAAAAACAAGCAAAGTTTCTGATACATGTCAATTTGACTCTTTCCATTTTTCCTGAGTCTTTTCAATCCAGTGTTTCTGCTTACACTTCATTTTTATATCACTCAAAAATTATGTATAGGTTTCTGAGGCTCCTGGGTGGCTCAGTGGGTTAAGCCTCTGCCTTCAGGTCATGATCTCAGGGTCCTGGGATCAAGCCCTGCATCGGGGTCTCCACTCAGCAGGGAGCCTGCTTCCCCTCTCTCTCTGCCTGCCTCTCTGCCTGCTTGTGATTGCTCTCTCTGTCAAATAAATAAATAAATAAAATCTTTAAAAAAAATTATTTATAGGTTTCTGATAAACCAAGATACCACTAAAATCTTAAAAGCCACCCAAAAAAATCACTTACCTAGGAGTAAAAGACTTCCAGCTGATTTCTCAGTAGCAACCATGGAAGCCAAAAGAACAATGTCTTGAACTGCTTTGGAGAAAGTAATTGTCAACATAAAGCTTACACTGAACAATATTTTTTAAAGAATAAAAGTGAAGTTAAAGAAAATAGTTTCTAAATTTATATAGCACAATGTTTATAAACTCAAGTGGAAATAAACAACTCCAGACTCATAGTAGGATATTGTATTATAGCTCTTTCAGTATTTGTTAGAACAAACAAAAAAAACCCTTCAATGTTATAGAACATGCAGTAACAAGTTACTTGAACTAACAGACATTTATAGGATACTGCATCTAAAAACTACAGAGTATCCTTTCTTTTCAAGCACTTATGAAACATTCACAAAGATTACTGGGTCACTTAGGGAATTTCAGCAAACTTCAGAGGATTAAATGTGGCTTATGTTCTCTGACAGCAGTTTAAGGTAGAAATAAATTTTTTAAATGACAGGTAGGTCATCTATATATTGGGTTATAGAATATCTGTAAGTTTCTATGAGTGGACAAAAAATCATTATTGAAATTGAAAAATAATTTGAGATGGGGAGCCTGGGTGGTACAATCAGTTGATTCTTGATTTTGGCTTCAGTCATGATCTCAGGTTGTGGGATGGATCCCATGCTTAGGCTCCACACTTAGCAGAAAGTCTACTGATGCTTGTCCCTCTCTCTCCCCTTCTGTTCCTCCCACTGCTCGGGCTCTTGTCTGTGCTCTCTCTCTGTCTCAAGTGAATAAATAAAAATAAATCTAAAAAAAATAATGGGAGCTGAATCAAAATTAAAATGTTATATTTCAAAACATTGGACCTACATAAGAGTGGTTGAAAATTTGTGAGCTAAATATCCATTTCTGGGGGTTAATTAAAAAGCAACTGAAATAAACTAAAAAAAAAAAATAAAAATAAGGAACTAATCAAAAACAAAAATTAAAGAAACACAAAATAAACATTTAGTGAGAAGTATCAGAAGAGAGAGACATATAATTTTTAGAAAGTAAAGAAATAGGTTCAAAGCTGGTATAAATTTATCTCGTGTTTGGAAAGAGAAGGCGCAAATTACTTTTATGATATACTCTTTGGGATTTTGAGGGTCTTATTGACCTCTCAGAAATGCTGCTGCATTCTGAAAAGTAATTTTGGGAAAGTAAGTGCTGATATTTATTGAGTTTTTCAGTCCTTACAGTTAATTTTCTCAACTCATTGCACTGGTTCCACTAAGAATTTCATATTCGCATTAAAGCTCCTTAGTGAAGCTGAGTCATTCCCTAGTAGTCATCCAACAAGAGTACGTAAAGAAGATTCGTATTTTACATTACTGACTTGACCTCGTTATAATTTTATAACATCTTAAATTCCCTGACTGTAATACTGTCAATAAAGCAAGAAGTCATTGTCCCCAATTTATTTGGAAAACTTCTGATTTTCAACTTATTTTATTTTTTTTTCAGTTTGGAAATGAAAAAAATTATACCTGGTATCATATGAATTCAGTAATATCTTTTCTCATTATTATTGTAGTATGCATATATTACTGTTTTGTTACATACCAAGTCCCCAGAAAAATTTGGACCAATAACTTTCATAATCATGTGGAGAGATCTGATAAGTCCATCTCTCAAACACCTAAACCTAATGGAAGCTTCCACTTACCGTTTCACAGACAAATCAGCATCTAAACAGAGATAGGCTGTTAATAAAAAAGGGAAAAGATGAGACATCAACACAAAGTTCCTGCATCCCAAATGTCCTTCCTGTGTGCCGTACTTACAATTTAAATGTATGCAGCCAAAGGGAATGTGTGCCATATAAGCCCTCAGAGCAAACACTAAAAAATTTTGTGACTGCATTTGAGAGACAAACCCAAGTCACAGTTATAGGCTGGCTTCTCCTTTTCTACACCCAGGGATGATATAATTGGGAGAGAACAAACATGAAATCCCTAGAAGAAATAAAACTTGAAAAAAGAAAAGAAAAGAAGTCTTAATAAAAGGTAGCTGACAAAAAATTACGAATACACAGCAAAATGATAAGCCCTATAAAATGACCAGGGAATATTTAGTAAAACAATTTCCCATAGATTAAAAAATTGTAATAATATTCTCTTTAAAAATAAAAGCTCGGGGGCGCCTGGGTGGCTCAGTCATTAAGCGTCTGCCTTGGGCTCAGGTCTTGATCCTAGGGTCCTAGGATGGAGCCCAAAGCCCCTCTTTAGGCTCCTTGCTCAGTGGGAGCCTGCTTCTCCCTTTCCCTCTGTTGCTCCCCCTGCTTGTGTTCCCTCTCTGTCTGTCAAGTAAGTAAATAAAGTGTTTAAAAATAAATAAGTAAAATAAAAGCTCAGTGGGACACCTGGGTGGATCAGTCCCTTAAGCCTCTGCCTCCAGCTCAGGTCATACTCTCAGGGTCCTGGGATTGAGTCCCACATCAGGCTCCCTGCTCAGGGAGCGCCTGCTTCTCCCTCTGCCTGCTGCTCCCTCTGCTTGTGCTCTCCCTCTCTCTCTCTTTCCCTGACAAATAAGTAAATAAAATCTTTTAAAAAGAAATAAGAGCTCAAAAGATACGAAAGCACAAGGGAAATAAAAATTAACAAAAGGAGTTGAAAAGTAGACACACTCAGTTCAAAGGAGAAAAATAAAAGGGTCTAAGAATGAAAGTATTGCAGAGATGAACACCACATTACAGGCTCTAAACATTGTTAGGGAGCAAGATGGTTGGGATTAAGGAGTCACACAAACACAATAAAAAGAATAAGCAAATAAGAATATAAAATAAATGAGAAAGATTGATTTAGAAAACAGATACAATCATCTGACATCCACTAATTGGTGTTTCTGCAAGAAAAAAAAAAGATCAAAAAGAAAAACATTTATTTGAAACCTAATAGAAGAAAACTTCCTTAAAGACTTCAATCTTTAGCAAAAGAGCACACTATGGTCTGGGGGGAAAAAAGTACAGAATGACCATCAGAAAAATATATACTGGTAAAGTTACTGAACATAAAGAACCATAAGGAGAAAACAAAGGTTGTACAAAGTGTAGGGTGAAGATGGGAGTCATCTCAGGCATCTCTTAAAACAAGAACTAAACACTCAAAGCTAGGAAAAATAAAAAAGTAAGGAAGGTATTCACCTAAGAATTTTACTTCTGACTGAGTTGTTCTTTGAGTAAAAAAGCAACAGAGATGTTCTCAAAATTTTAAGAATTCGGAGAATACAATACCCCTATATGTATAAAAATATCATACATCTTTATAAAATTCACTCAGTGGAAATATCCAGTCAACCTGAAGAGAAAGCAGATTTTAGAAATGAAGAAATCACCTTCAGTTAAAAGGTTTGATTGAATCCATTTAAATACAGAAGATTGAAGAGCTCCAAATTATGTTTACAGATGGCAGTATCAATCCTGAAAATATAAAAATACAGCACTAACTACGATGGGAATTGGGTGGGAGGAGAGGAGGAAATACAGGTACTAATTTTCTCATCTTCCCATATTTATGTAAGTACATACATAAAAGGATTTAATAAAAAGATACCTTCAAATTTCTGTAAACTTATTTATTATCTTAAAAGTAGGCAATTTTTATGGACCAGGAAATTTAACCAGCAGTGCAGTTAGGCAATAATCTCCGAGACCACCGTCACTTCTCACAGCACTTGCCAGTTTTGAAGTCCCGACAACCCACTTGGGGTTTGATGATTTGCTGAGGACTCAAAATTTACCAAAAGCTGTTACACTTGTAATTATTATTATTAGGATATGGATTAAAATCAGATGGAGGGAGAAGCAATAGGGCAGAATCAAAAGGGCACCAAATGCAAGGCTTTTAGGGGTCCTTTCATGTGGAGTCAGGATGGCATTATTCTCCTGGAACTGACATGTGACCATGTACACAGAGTATTGCCTGCTAGGGACGCTCACCAGCCTTGGTGTCTGCAGTCTTCTTTGCGGCTCCATCATTTAAATCTATTTGGTTGCTTGTGAGGCTGACCTCTTTCCCGAATCCCTCAGAAGGTCAAGCTGGGAGACCCAAAGTCCCCACCCAACATCATGTTATTCATGTGGCTCAGAGACACTCAATCTGAATCATACTGTCACTATGTGGATGCCAAAAGCCCTTAGGCTAACACATAGAGTCCTGTTAACCATAACATTGCAAGGCATAGAGAGAATCTCCCAGAAGCTGAGAGTGAAAGCCAGACCCCTGGTTAAACTGGGGTTAAGGTTAAATTCTTGATGCTGCAGGGACTGATTTCTCTCTTGCTAAAGAAACACATAATTTAACTTCGGTTCCATTTTCTTTGGTTAAATTCAAGGGAATTACATTAATTGCATTACTTAAAATGGTGTGGTATCATTTTTATAGATTATTTTATTACTCAGTTTCCCACCTTTCTCCCTATCAATTTAAACACACTTGTAATGATGCTTGTCAAATGCATTCCTTTATATAGTCTATTAAGTTTTTTTTTAAGATTTCATTTATTTATTTTACAGAGAGAGACACAGCGAGAGAGGGAACACAAGCAGGGGGAGTGGGAGAGGGAGAAGCAGACCTCCTCCCACGGAGCAGGGAGCCCGACTTAGGGCTTGATCCCAGGACCCCGGGATCATGACCCGAGCTGAAGGCAGATACCCAATGACTGAGCTACCCAGGCACCCCATTAATTTTATTCATCTTTTCCCACTAATTTGCTCTATATTTATTCACTTTGTTCCTTCTCCTCTTTGTCTTTCTCTCTTCTATGTGTTCTTCCTTATTATTTTTTCTGTATTTTTAGATGACTGTTTTCTAGTTCACCTTAATAAGATAGCTTGTTTAATTGATTGGCAAAACCTCAGTTTTCTTATATATAAAAGGAAGGGGTGGGGTTGAACCAGTCTGCAATGTTTCCTCCCAGAATCACCTCTTAGTGGATGGGTGGACATGACAGGTGCAGGATAGCTGGAAATATTTGGGGACAAGGAGAGATGTCCAACTAGCTTGTTTCCCAACTTGATGAGCATGTTCTAACAAATTTGCTATCTCACAGCACAGAAGTACTGAGTGTTAGTTTAGGGATGTAAAGGTGAAAGGCCTGGGGAAAAGTTCAAAGTCAAATAAGCATCTGATCCCTTTTTTAAGGGATTGTAAATTAAAAACAGACAACGAAATCCTTGTCTTCGTATAGTTGAAACTTTGGTTTTATTAAAACTTTCAGGGGATTTTAAAAATTTTTATGTATTTATTTATTTATTTGAGAAAGAGAGAGCATGAACAGAGGGACAGAGGGAGAGGAGAGAGAGAATCCTAAGCATGTGGGGCTGGATCTCAAGACCCTGAGATATCATGACCTGAGCTGAAAGCAAAATTCAGATGCTTAACCAGTTTAGCCACCCAGGTGCCCCTGAAGGGATATTTTTGAATGACTGCAAAAAGAAGAAAGCAGGAAGTGTTCCTTTTAGCTAGAGTTAGTAGAGTATGTGACTGAGCACCGAGATGTTTGGTACTGCTCATTCAAGAATAAAATTAATGTTTTGCTAAGGTAATGTGCAACATAAAATGAAATGTAAGTAAATGCCATCATATAAGTGCTCTTTATCAATGCCTTCAGTTTTGATTTTCAAATATGTATTTAATTTTTATCAGGAAAGTTTACTTTTTTTCGTAAATCTGCATTCTAATTCTTTATTTCAGTTGTCTGAACATAAACTCTGCCACCAGTAGATGTCACTGCACAAATAAGTATTTCGTTATTGTTTTTGTTGTTTGTTGAATTTTATTTTTGCAGCTTCTTTTCAGTTATGACTTGCTAAAGTATGATTTTCAGAAAGATGAACCCATTAGAAATGAACAGGGCTGGTGTATTCATGCGAAGAAAGGTAAGATTCTTGCGTTTGACCATGTCTTTTCAGGCAGAAGTTTCTGAATTTCTGTTTAATTACTACTGAATTTAGAGAAGAAAGAATAGCTGTTACAGATATGTGATGAGATTTATTTGGAATTTCAATGCAGGTAGAATAGTTTCATTATTAGGTATTAGGGATCCCAATTGGGTCACTCGGATGGTCAGTTACTAAAATCTAAAATGGATTATTACTGGGATCCTTTTTTCCTGATCCGCTCTTCTAGTTGTAACAGTAGTGCTAATGTCCTCTATCACCAAGATAAAATGTAAAAAAGAATGCCTTAGTTACCACTCTAGGTATAGTGGAAAGTCAGGTAGGCTTACATTATATCTGGGCTCTCATCCTTAGAAAATGTACAACTTTGGGCAGGCCACTCGAGCGGAGACTCATTTTCTTTATATGTAGAGTCAACAATATTTATTTTGTGAGGTTCTTGTTGACCATTAAATGAGGTGATGTATGCAGAGTCCTACAGAGAGCCTGGCATGGGTTTGCTACCTACCTGCTGCTTTTCTCCATCTCACTCCCCTCCTCCACCAAGGTCTAGTTTCTGATAATTTTTGGTTAGACAATTCACTTGCTGCTGCATAGGATCAGTCTAGAGATTTCAATGTAGATATGTGCACTTGGACTTGTTTAGAGATTCAGGCTGGATAAATCAGGCCAAAATTACTTTTTACTTTTTTCAGAATATGCTTAGGCTACATTTCAAAGATGAATTCGTTTAAATCTTAACTTCAAATGTGGAGATAAAGGTTGCAAACCTGGCTTGTTTGTGTGTTTTGGTAGCTGGAAGCTTGGAAAGAATATAAGCCTGTCTATTAAAAAACAAATCGCCCTGTCCTCTAAATTTCAAACCTAAGAGCATTTATCAAATATCTTCCCCTAATTCAGGTCTGTAAGCTGTGTCCAAGAGAAAAGCCAATTCTAAAAAGATTATAAAGAACTTTGTTTATTCACACCTTTCTAGTGTATTTTATTTTGTTTTGTTTATTTAAGATTTTTTTTTTTTTTAAGGAATCTATGCACCCAGCATGGTGCTCAAACTCACAACCCCAAGATCAAGAGTTTCATGCTCTACTGACTAAGCCAGCCATGCATTCCTGGTGTGTTTTATTTATTGGATTTAGGACAGTATCAACATCGGAACTTGAGTCTCAGAACTGCTTGTACAAACTCAGGGTTTCTTAAAAAAGCAGATTGTCCCTGAGCACCTGCGTGGCTCAGTTGGTTAAGCAGCCGACTGGATTTTGGCTTAGGTCATGATCCAGGATCCTGGGATTGAGCCCTGTTTGGGCTCTTCACTTAGTGGGAGTCTGCTTGAGGATTCACGCTCACCCTCATCGTCTACTCCTCCCCTGACTTGTGCTTGCACTCTTTCTCGCTCTCTCTAAAATAAATAAATAAATCTGTAAATCTTAAAAAAAAAAAAAAAAAGCAGGTTGTCCCCAAACATTTGCTTTAGTGTTCTGTGATTCTTATTATAAATTACTCAATATTTTTTCCATTAATGATACTGCATCTTGCATACATTTGCCTGGAATAGATAGATGAAGAATACTATGATCTTTTTAAGCATTTGCAATAATTAATTTGTCAGGGAAGAAACTGTCAACCTGTGTCTTAAAGAAGAAAAACAAAGAATATAAATTTTAAGGGGAAGATGAGAGGCTTGGAAATTTCTGCAATAGAGGGAATGTAACTGAAGGAATATGTGTTGGAGGACAGGCTTTGGAGTCAGATGAACTTGGTTTATAAAAACCCATCTCAGGGGCACCCGGGTGCCTCAGTCAGTTAAGCCTCTGAGTCTTGATCTCAGCATGGAGCCTGAGGCTTTAAAACAACAACAACAAAGCCCATCTCCCACATTTGGTAACTGTATGACATTGGGCAAATTACTATATCTTTCTTGGTTTCTTTACTGTAAAATGAAGATGATATGAGGGCCTGTGTTACAGGTTTGTGATGAGAATCAGATAAATACGGTGCTCAGAATAGTGACTGGTCCCCAGAAAGCACTCAGGAAGTGTAACAATGGTGATGACGATGATGATGATGAAGGTGTCCATGATGATAGTGACAATGAGGGGCCTCTGCAGTAGCCAACCAGACTTGGCTTGACCAATGGCATATGTGCCTGTGGAAGCCAGGATGTCCAGCAGGAGTGGGAGCAATGAACATTGAATAATGTTAAAATGACATAATTGGTTTACAGTGTTCTGGAATTAACCCCATCTGAGTAGTCATGTGGATGTTGCATCTGTTTACAGGGGGGCAAATCGTGTCAACAATGGCCTTGGGATGTTCTGGGACAGTGATTGCTGCTCCCCTTTGTCTTCCACACTTCTTGTAGAAGTAGATTTTTATCTTGCAGCTTGCTGGGCAAAATCCTGATTAATTTGAGTAAATCTGATTGAAAATTTGTTTCAGTTAATGTGTCTACATATAAAGAATACTAATAACTTCCATGCCTCATCTCTTGCCCATTGAGGATTTCCACATAACATCCTATATGGATCCTATATTTTATCCTATAAAATAAAACATTTTCTTAAGCTTCTGTTACCTTCTAGATCTGAGATCCTATTGAACAGAAACCTTGTTGCGAAATCAAGGACTTGAACTTGAGTTCTAGGTCCATTCCTTTCAACATTGTTGGACTTCAGTAACTTACTTGACCCTTTTGAGCCATGGCTCCTTCCTTGTGAAATAAGGATTTTAATTATCACTTTTAAAGGATTTCTGTGAAGAATAAATAGGATTACAGTTGCAAGAGACACATGGGGCTTGCTGCATAGTAAAAGCCTGATAAATATTGCTACTATCATAATCTTACTAAAATTATTATTATGGTTATTTATATAGTTTCATTATTATCAGTGTTAAAATCTATGGAACCTGAAAAAAAGGTAGCCTTTGGTCTATCCACCCAGGATAGGATGTAAAATAAATTTAATGTGCCTTTGCCTGCATTCGCTTTCCTTTTTGCTAGTTTTTCCAAAGCGGTTTGTGTTGGTGGCTGTCTGTGAAAGGGTGTGTTGGATGCAGGATGCAGGCACCCAGGGTAAATATCAAATATAATAAAAATCAAGTTCAGGGAAAGAATATCAACCTTGGTTGTATTGGTCAGATATAATCTAAGTACATGCATGATATGTGTAATAATAATTTTAATCAAGTCACCAAAAAGTGCCTTTCTCTCCCAGGAGAACCTGGGCTGCTCATTTGTCGAGTGAATAAGAAGAATCCCTTCTTTGGTTATGCCGGGAGTAAGAAACACACAGAGAAGAAACTGCTTTGTGATGTTTTTAAGAAGGGAGATGTTTACTTTAACACAGGAGACTTAATGGTGCAAGATCAGGACAATTTCTTTTATTTCTGGGACCGTATTGGCGACACTTTCAGGTGCGAAATAGCATGGGTCATACTGCTTCTTCTGTAATTGTGAATCATGTCCAAGCAAGGCTCCGTGGAAAGATTGTAGACCACATGGTCTGTACCTTTGGGGCAGACAGAGCACTTTCACCTCTGTAATGTCTCCCCATTTAAAAATTCAGTGACCATCTGTTTCTAGATTAAAACCTAATTTAAGTGTTGATGTCAATTTTTATCATTATTTAAATGAATCATTTTTGGTCCAAATCAGTGAGCTCCTTTTTTTAAGAATATAAAATAAGTAGACAGATGTGATGTTTAAATGGCAGAGTTGAAACAGAAACCAGTTTGGTCAAGTCTGGTCTAATTTTTGACTGAATGATAAAAACAATGAAACAGCAAAATTTTCCTTTCTTACATTTTCCTTCTTAATTCCTAAAGGTTATTTTAGGCTTATTCAATGATTTTGCTTTACTACTCAATGACTATGGAATAATGAGGGACATACAAGAGACATTCAAAAATATGTTTGAATGGATAAATGAATCATACTTCCTTACCTTCTCCTACCAACTTACGGGCTCACTTTGTATAAAATCATTCTAATTGAATATACTCAATCCATAATTCATTTGTATTAAAGGATCCAAAGGGGTTAACCCCTAGAAATTAAAGGTCACTACCCTGAGAGACAACTGGAACTTTCCTTTCATTTTTTCTGACTCTATCATTAGAGATAGGCAATGTTGTGTACTTAATTGTAATTACAATTCAAAATAAAGAGGAATTATCATTCCTTTGTTTTTATGACATACTGTAGAAAAACATGGTAATCGACTTATGCCAATGAAACACAGATACAGTAATTTTAATTAAAACAATGATTCTGCTTTTGTTGACTTCTCAGTGAAGTGCTTCCTTGGAAATGCCTTTCGTTTCAAAAACTGCCATTGTGTTTGGTTACTTGGAACTTGCCCAGAACCAAACACAAGGCACTGAAGCTAAAACTGGGTACCTACTTCTTCAGACAGAGGTACATTCATTGGAACTTGGTTTTCATTTAGGTGGAAAGGAGAAAACGTTGCCACCACAGAGGTTGCTGACCTTATTGGAATGTTGGATTTCATACAGGAGACAAACGTCTATGGGGTGACAGTGCCAGGTACGAGTATATTTCAGGTTTGGAAGAATTCTCAAAATAGAATGTGTTGCTTTTCTTTACTTTTGTAACGATCTTACTAATTCGACATTTCATTTTTTGGTATATTAAATATCTTAGTCTTGTCTTGGCAAGTAATGCCCTAGACCAGGCTAACAAATGCCAATGGTCACATCCAGTACCAACTTAATTTTAATGGATGTGTGTATTTTTAAGTAAAGCTTGAAAATTCTGGTCCATGACTCACTGCTTGAAAATAATTCCAGCTTTTCAATAGTCTGTTATTGTTCCCTTTATGACTAGAGTTTATGCATGCCACTAAATAGGAACACATGCTAGTTTAAATGTTTAGTAACACTGACTTATGGTTATATTGAATCCTTTTTGAAGATTTTATTTATTTGAGAGACAGAGAGCATGTGTGAGTAGGTGGAGGGCAGAGGGAGAGCTAGAAACAGACTTGCTACTGAGCAGGGAGCCCAGGATCATGACTTGAGGTAAAAGCGGCTGCTGAACCAGCTGAGCCACTGAGGAGCCCTAGTTAACCTTTTTATTTTTACTTTTTAAAGATTTTATTTTTATTTATTTGACAGAGATCACAAGTAGGCAGAGAGACAGGCTGAGGGGGGGAAAGAGGGGAGGGGCGGGGAAGTAGGCTCCCCGCTGAGCAGAGTGCCTAATACGGTGCTCGATTCCAGGACCCCGGGATCATGACCTGAGCCAAAGGCAGACATTTAACCCACTGAGCCACCCAGGTGCCCCTTTAGTTGAACCTTTATAAAAAATAATTTAAAAACTTGTTTGGCTTCATTTATCTTTGTAAATGTGCATATGAGGATTGTCTCATGATGGTGAAAATGACAAAGAAAAGTTACCAAACTGAAATGATAGGATAGCTGTTCTCCTTTGCTGTTTTGTTTTGTTTTGTTTTGTTTTGAAAAGTGTAAATAATGTCCAACTAATGTTTATAGGTGCCCAGGACAATGGGATGGAAGTGTTTAAATGAGGAGCAGAGGAAGGGGATGTTTACTCTAATAGACCTTGGGTGTTGTCTATACTGTTTCCCTGGAAAAACCCATAGGTGGCATGATAAGCACTAAGTGATCGTGGAATTCAATACCAGTCTGGTTTTTAAATTTAAAAACAATATTGCCTTTTAATTTTTGTATTGACTCTTAACATGGATATTTGTCTGGAATATATTCACCGTTAAATAAGTGTTTCCTCCCAATATTTTATATTAATGGTGGTAGAATGCAAACTGGGGGTTATTTATGGTGTTTTCTATTCCATCTATTTCATTTGTGTAGTGTCGACAGTCAAGAATAGACTGTATCCTTTCCTGTTCCTGACTTATTTCTGGGACATTGATCATATGCTCAGGGAGGGATCCACTCATTTAGAATGTTGTTGCATTGTTACTGCTGTGATAGGATTAATGTCTCCATTTGCAATAATTAGTATGTGATTAAGAGAATCATTTTAAAAATCACCTAGTGCTTGTAAAATTAATGCTATTTCAAACTTTTTTTTCAGATTATGAAGGAAAAGCAGGAATGGCTTCTATTACTTTAAAACCAAATAAGTCTCTGGACTTGGAGAAGGTTTATGAACAAGTTGTAACATTCTTACCAGCTTATGCCTGCCCACGATTTTTAAGAATTCAGGTAACTCTACTGTTTGAATTTTAAGAATTCAGGTAATATTACTTAACTAAAGATTCAACTTAACTACAAGACCAGGAATCCAGGAGATGGTTTATTTATAAGATAATATTTTATCTTTTAGATAATATGTGCATTTGATTTATATTAGAAAACCTCAAGAATAATGAAAAGCATTGGAATGCTAATTTATGCCATTTTTGAAGCCTAATTATAGAAGGGAACTTGATGAAATGCTAGGGTGTCTTTGTCTTTGTCCTAATTATAGACTTGCTTTCTTCCTCTTCACTCAAGACCTTAGCAATGGTGCAAGCCCCAACTCCATTGTACACAAGCCTTGTGAAGACACTTGGTGCTCTATGCCTAGAACTGTGTTCCACCAGGCTGACATCAAGATGTCTGAGGATGTGTGCAGAACGGAAAGGCCATTGGCTTTAAGCAATTCTGCTTTTAATTTTTACCCTTGTTCTGTCCAGCCTTCCTCTGGGACTGTATACTTTTAGGGAATTCTCAGTTTATTTGTTTTGAGAAGTGGGCACTCTCTTGTTAGGTTGCTAGAATAAAATACAGTAAAAAGAAGAGTTTGCTCAGCCACTGGATGAATTTGCTCACTCATTTATTCAGCCATTTGTGTATTTAATACTGTGTCCCCAAAGCTAGTACTTATCTCTTAACATCCAATCACAAAACTTTTCTGGATACATTCATCATATCACTCTTAGATCCCTAGCGGAACAATCGATAGCATCATATTCATCTTCCAAGCATTTGCTGAGCAATCTTCATGGCCCTGTCATGGCTTGGTCAAAGGGATGCATCATCTGAACTCTCATAAATATATATTTCATTTACATAATTTTTAAAATATTCATTTACATAACTTTTAAGAGCTTTCGTACGCATTGACTCAGATTATTTTCATAGCGGTCCTCTGAAATGCCAAAGGTAAGCAGAAGTATGAAGCAGAATTAATACATTTTCGATTGAAATTTTTATTGAGATTGTTGTAGTCATGCTATTGGAAGAAATAACACAGAGAAAGATCCTTAGTGTAGCGATTACTCAATTTCCTCCAGAGGTGTTATTTTTCAAAACTGTTATAACCTGGACATTGATGTTGATATAATCTACCCATCTTATTAAATTTTGTGTTTACCTATGTGTGTGTGTGTGTGTGTGTGTGTGTGTGTGTTAAGATCTATACACTCTTATCACCTGTATTGCTTCTTCACCAATGACTACAGCCAAGATATGAACAATTCTGACACCACAGGATGTCTCATGTTTCCCTTTATAATCACATTCAGTTCTCTCTTGAATTTCCCCATACTACCTTAGAAATAATATATTTTAATTGGGTAGACAGTTGGTAGTTTAAATAATATCTTAAACACATTTCCCCTAGGGCAACTTAAAATTCACTTTCATTAAGAAGAAGAAATATTTTGGCATAGAACTATTCTAGAAATCTAAGTCAGTCTTACACAAACTTAGAAAATGCTTTAGCATCATTTAACACCTAAAGAAATAGAAATGTGACTGTTATATTTATTATAGTATTTGCTATATTTAGTACAATGCATCATACTTAGTTGGCAGTAACAATATTTATTTAACAAATGAATTATAATAAATTATCTGATATAAGCAGTACAAAACTTTAAGTCACTTCTGACAAAGTAAATAAAATAACTATCTTATCAAAATCAAAATCTTACCAAAATCCATTCAGCAAAAATTTAAAAAATGATTATTTTTGCTACTAAATTTACAAAAAAGTTTTTTCTAAAAGATTTATTTATTCTGGGGGTGGGCAGAGAAAGGGCAAAGGGAGAGAGAGAATCCTCAGGAAGACTCCCCCTGGGCCCAGAGCCCTATGTGGGGCTCCCTCCAAGGACACTGAGATCATGACCTGAGCCAAAATTAAGAGTCAGACACTTGGAGCACTGGGAGTTATACATAAACAATGAATCTTGGAACACTACATCAAAAACTAATGATGTACTATGTGGCGACTAATATAACATTAAAAAAGAGAGAGAGACTTAACTGCCTGAGCCACCCAGGCACTCTAAATTTACAAAAAAAAAAAAAAAATTAATGTGATATTAGTATGGGTGGGATGAAATTAAATTGATCCTTTCATTCAGCTTGTGGAAACACAAACTATTATAACCTCACTAGAAAACAAGTTGGTATATATATAATTAGGCTCTTAGAATTTACATATGTTTTGACTTAGTAATTTCATTTCCAGAAATGTATCCTTAAAAAGTAATCAAAGCTGAACAAATGTTATATATAAAGATGCTCTACAAAATGTTATTCATAGCAGTTAAAAATTTTGATATTCTTTATTAGTTAGAATAAGAATAATGTTAATTAAAATATTATAATTAGATGAGATCTTATTAAACCATTACCTAATAGTTTTTATTACCTAAAGAAAAATTACCTTACCTGTAGAAATACACCCAGCATATTATAGAGTTGGGGTTTTTTGTTTGTTTCTTTAGATTTTATTTATTTACATATTATAGAGAGAGGTGGGGAGAGAGTGCGAAAGTGGAGTAGGAAGAAGGGCAGAGGGAGAGAAGCATCCCCTGCAGACTCTGTGCTGATTGTGGAGCCGATGGGGCCAGATGCCAGGACCCTGAGACAAAATCAAAGAGTTTCAAGCTCAACCAACTGAGCTACCCACGTGCTGCTAGAGCAGTGTGTGTGTGTGTGTGTATGTGTGTGTTTAAGGCAGAATATCAATTGTATACATACAGGGAGTTTTTAATTTTCTAAAAATGAGAAAAAGAGTATGTGTTTCCACACAGTCAGATCTAATTCTGTGATGACAGTGTTGGGAAGAGGGTGGGATAGGAAGGATGAGATCAGGGAAGGAGGTACAGAGAGAACTTGAGTCTTGCATTAGTCCAGAAGGATGAATAAAAATGGCTAGGAGACTCATAGAACCTTATAAGGACCTCTCTGTGTCATCTGACTTAAAGCAGGTTACTTCTCCATGCCTGAAGTTGTCACAGAGAGATACACTTTATCTCTTAAATCCCTTAAAGCAGAAAGCTTAAACTTTCTAGATTCATGGCATCTCTAGAGTCTCAGTATTTCCTGGCATTTGGGATTCACCAAATACCTAAATTTTCTTTTCTTCAGTATTTAGGTCAAAAGAAATTCATTAAGTTTTTAGGTCTAACAAATTAATTTCTCTTTGGAAAAATAATGTATATAAATTGAAAGCTAAAAAATACTCTTATTTTTAGCCAACCACAACTACCAGAGAGATGTAAATTGGGCATTGTACAACTCCTCAAACCTTGGAATTAGATTGGACTGCACAGGGAGAGCCTAATTCCTTGTCCCACATTGATTTGGAGCTGTACTTGCCTTTTATCACAGCAACCGCTGAAAACCCTGTTTCACAAAGATATGGCATCATTGAAAAGAATGTGTCACAAACTAATATTGGAAGTATGAACTACCTTGAGCTAGTAGTTAGCAAGCAGTGGCCAACAGATATCACTGGGTTTACCTGGAAAATTTAAAATACACCTTAGAGACACTGGAATTTCACAGAAGTACCACAGAGCACCTCAGTGCACAGTTTGAAAACCCAGGATTTAGATCATCTTTTACTCCTTCTGGTTTTTATAGTATTTGGCCTTATGAATGGAATGTTCTCTTTCATAGGTTTTATCTTCTTGGTGTCTAATAACATTTCTTGTACATGTTGTTGTGTTGACAGTGAATTAAAGAGTTAAGCCTATGTATTTTAGATGCTTCTATAGTTGGTTGTAATTAGTTTTTGACAATTTTCATAATTCTTCTATTTTAAATAAAGTTCAGAGGTAAATCAAGCTAAAAATTCCACTGTTCTAGAGGGCATTTTTTAAAATTTCTGATGTTAAATTATTAGTAGTAAATAGAGAGATGGTCACTGAATATAAAAGTGTTATAATTAAATATTACAGTCTATCTTATTATTGAATATTCTGTTTATAGATTTTAGATAATATTAAATGATTCCACTAATCCTGACAATTGCTTTGTAGGAGAAGATGGAAACAACAGGGACATTCAAACTACAGAAGTTTCAATTGATGGAAGAAGGATTTAGTCCATTGAAAATTTCTGACCCACTTTATTTCATGGATAACTTGAAAAAATCTTATGTTCCACTGACCAAAGAACTTTATGATCAAATAGTGTTAGGGAAGGTCAAACTTTAAGAATTTTTACACATGAGATTTTCATGTTTTCTTAGGAGAAGTGAGAGGAAAGTGTCTGATTCTTTAACACAATATGGGAGGGGGGAATGGATATTAACATATGCTGTGTTTTCTTAATATGCAACAACTTTTTTCTAAGTAGGAACTTTCATTTGTTTTAGACCATAGAAAAACTTTAGTTGATTATTTGTTTTATCTATCTGGGGGTTCACTACATAACTAAATATTTGTTTCAGTCATAAAGATTCTAAATAATCAGTAGTTAAAAATTTAGAAACTTACTACAAATGTACTCTTTACTATTTAAAGTTTCCAGTTTTGAGTAAATGGTTAAATTTTGCTCAAATGCTTTATTCTTATGCACCCTGCCCTATAACTCAATAAAATCATCTTCATTAATATGTGTTTTGAGGTTCTGTTCTGATGTTTTAACTGTAAACTTCCAGTCCAAGGAAGCTGACTGAACTCATGCATACATTCCTGTCTCCCTTCTTGAACTCACATTCTGATGATAGAAGAAATACAGAAGTGTTTTACAGCAAACCAAGAAAACCAGTAAGCCCTAAACATTTAGGAATTTTTGGAAGATACATAAACAAGATCAATTTAATGGTAAAATCCAACAGAACTGTAGAAACCACTGGTGATACAGAAAAAGAATGGACTACAATAGAATGTAGGTATTGACACTAAGATCAGAGGCAGAAGAGACTTTGAGTGTGAGCAGGTTTGTGGTTATTAACAGAAATGCATTGCAAGGACAATATAAGACACACAGTTGGACTTCTTCCGGTCTGGAAGCAACAACCTCCAAGGTTTGCTTCAAGCTGGAACCACGTAAATGACTCTCCTGGTAAAGTGAGCTCGCTTCCACAGGAGGAGGTTGTGGAGCTAAGCTTAAATGGAGCGGAGCCCAACAGGAAGCTCCTTTGCCAATAAACCTAGCTCCCTGTACAAGGAGAAGGAAAGTTAGCTTTGCCTCCTGTTAAAAAGCTTATTTGGGGGAAAGCTTGGGTGTCTCAGTGGTTAAGCATCTGCCTTTGGCTCAGGCCATGATGCCAGGGTCCTGGGATGGAGCTCTGCATCTGGTTCCCTCCACGGTGGGGAGTCTGCTTCTCCCTCTCCCCCTGTTCCTTCTCTCTCTCTATGTCTCTCTGTCTCTCTCTCTCTATCTCACTTGCTCATTCTCTTTCTCAAATAAGTAAACAAAACCTTAAAAAAAAAAAAGCTTATTTTGGTTGGAAGAGAAGTTGCAGATACAGTGGTTCCTTTTTGTACTTACTAGGAAAACAAGAGTTATAAAATTAAAATATTTTTTAAATGTATAGGTTAAGCCTAGTAGCGTAGAAATAAAATGTAAAGCTTTAAGATTGAATAAATGACAAGATGTAATCAACTTTGCAGAAATAAAAAATTTTAAAAGAAAAAAGTTCTTAAGTCAGAATGAATTAAAGTAAGTCTAAGTGTATCCATTCTCCTGTTAAATATATGAGAATGGATGAATGGTCTTTATTAAAAACTATTAAGTGAATGAATAAATTGGCACTTGATTTTTATATTGGTGATTTGGATTCTTTACCTTTCCCATTAAAAATCTGTTCTGTCTTTATGTACATAGTTTTGATTTATGTGCTTTTTACTGCAATAAATCTGAATGAACATTTTACTACTAACTCATAACTTTTTAAAATTGTTAGAGATGAGAAAATAATGGTGAATTTAGCATACATATCTTACTCCCTTACCTGTAACTTTCCTGTCAAATTCATTATAGTAAAAGACAAAATATCATGAAAACAATAATACACTAAAAGATGGGGGAATGGAGGGAACAAGAGAGTCTGTCTTCAGTGGATAAAACATTGTCAGAAATTACTGGAAAATAGGAAACACATGAGACCAGGTTTTCAAAGAAACCATAGATGGATGGGGGGGAAAGCCTCACACTTATACCATTGAAAAATGCTTCAAAGCAAAAGAAACCAACCACATTGAAAACACATCTAAAGACCAAGATGGGTCCTCTGTGTAATTAATTAGGGTAATTAATTGTAGAAAATTGAGATAATGAGTTTCTCTGCCTTTCCCTTGATTATAGAAAATTTCCATCAGTGCACAAAATAACTCATGACATAAAAGAAATAGAAAATAAGATCCCATGACATTCAAAACTTCTTTAAGACAAAAGACACTAAGGATTAAAGTTTTTAAAGAGCTAGAAACTAAGAGAAAATGTCTAGAAACCTGGGGAAGGAAGTTGCCCACATTTATTATATGTTAAGAACATTTGCACAAAAAAGGGGGGGAGGCAAAAGGAAGAGAAGATGAATTCTCTTCCAAAGGAGAAAGAATATAAAAAAAATGGAACCCCTACCAAGATCCAAGTTTACTAGGACAAAAGCAGGGGGCAAGGAGGTTTTCTGATTTTAATTTCTAAGAAATGAAATCCTCAAGAAAATGTAGATAAGAGAGGTTCTAGAATCTATCTAGATTAGAAAGTCTCTGGTCTTAGAGTCACAGAGACTTATGAGAAGTCATGAGGCTAATTCAGAAACAGAATGGTCCCCATGACTTTGACTTTAGCAGGAAATTAGAAGGACATTTGGCTTCTAGAGGGCTAGGTGCTAGAATAGGGGCATCTCAGTGGCTAACTGCATGGATCTTTGACTGGGAACCAAATAAAATTGACTTTTCCAGAGAGAACTGCATGGTAGGGTAACCCAATGCCCCCCTCCTCTCCAGTATCCACAGCACATTCCCAAGGATGTAGACCCAAATTTGAGGGAAATGATAGAAGCCAAAATAGCTTGAAATTAAGTGCTTCCATCTTGCCCTTCAAAATGGAAATTAGATTAATTCTGGCTCAAACTGAAATTCAGTTCCTTAACTTCTAATTCTTGACATGGAAGAAAAATTACAGTAAAGGATCTCTACAAATAATCACAGAATTGTCATTGATTGTGTTTCTTAGGGTCTTCTAGTAGGATTCATGATGCAATTCTCTTAGAACTGGTAGATATTTTACTTCTTTCTACCTATTTATGAATTGGGGCCAGAATAGAAAGAGCAGCCAAGGGATTACTTTGCTTCCATAGGCATGATGGATGGGAACAAGGGACCCATACAGGTAATGGGTGGGTCAAAGACAGGCTTATGCTGACATCGAGCCGCCAGATTTGGGAATGGAATTAGCTAAGTCATTGACTGCCTTTTGTTTTGTTTTGTTTTGGTTTGGTTTGGTTTTGGCTGTCTTTTTTTACAATGACTCTTCTTTGTGCTATTTCTTGAATGTACTATTATCTGTAAGTGAACCTCTGGGCCAAAAAAATGCCATTTTCCACAGGCATATGTTTTATAAATTGTCAATGACATAATGGAAAAGTAAAGCAAATTCTCCATATTTTAAGAGCTGCAGTATTGAGACTAGATATTATATTTTCATGCAAATGAGCTTCAAATATTGAAGATAATATGTGAAAGCTTATGCCACAAAAGCAGTAACATAGGGAACAGATTTCTGTCAGAGTAAGTTTAGCAAACAAAAAGGCAATTCTTTCTTGATATTGCCAAGAAAACCAGTAAGGGAAAAATAGGAACTAATTGGTTTATATCAAAGATAACGGTTAAATCTACTTCTGTGAATCCTGCACTAATCAAATATTTTGGTGATTGTTAGGCAAGCCAAACCATTATGTTTAAAAAGGAAGTCTGTGAGTGGTCAGTTGGTTTTGATCCTCATCAAAATAGGTGATTTTGCTATTGAATTACATTCACACACTATTTAAACCAAGTAGAGAACATTATATGAAGCTATTATGATCTGTGTGATATGAAAAGACATTTATATCAAATGGGGTTTTGTAGTAAGAGGAATTAATTTTCTTTTTCCGGGAAATGGGAGAAGTTCTGTATATAAGCAGAACAAAGCATTAATTCAGATCTCTCATATGTTTTTCTTAGACTTTAGCCATTCACACGAGACTAAAAAAAGACTGTGGGCAATAACCCATAGATAACCCCGGCCTTATCATAGGAAAAAGCATCACACAAATGCCAGACTCTGCAAAACAGCCGACTAGCGCTCCTCAAAACTATCAAGGTCAGTAAAAACCTGGAGGTGTGTATGCTTGCATCTATGGTTGGAATCTAAAATGTGGGGCAATTTTAAGAAATTTAAGAAATTTACTGTTTCTGTGTAGGAGAGAGATCAGACTAACATATTCTATCAACTGTATAGAAGAATAGTGAGTAATAATCTCTCTTATTAATATGTAGTGATTTTTATTTCTTAAAAATTTTTCTGGTCAAACATTGTCTTATGTCTAGTGGCCCACACTGCAGATGAATTAAGTTTAACATGTAGCAAAATACTCTTTCAGTATATGATTCCTGGAAATTAAATTCACTGCCGCCTTGACATTGCCCTGTCCAGTGTCTAGCCATTATGTCTCCCTATTTAAACTCATGGGTAGAGTGAAACTGGAGTCAGGATTTACTGTGTTCTGTCCTCTCACAGCCCCGATGTTTAGCTAGCTGGGTCACCTTTGTTTGGCCACTCACCTCTCTAAGCCTTGTTTTGCTCACCTGTAAAATAGAAGTTATAAATCTGCCTTCCAAAAATGTTGTGAAGATGAAGTGAACAACAAATATGAAGGCCTTGGGTACACTCAATTTAAAAAAAATGCTTGTTGCATCTATCTATTAAATATGCACAATTGTATTTAGCCTTCATTTTGCAAAAATAGAGATGGCCATTTCCTATCTACAGGATTAGATTGAGCAATGTCATTTTTATTGAATGAATGAATGGTCACATTAATTTAGAAAAATTGGTATTTAAGTTTAGAGCCATATGCTAATTCAAATAATAAATGAATTTATGCCAATGGAAATGATAGAAGATAAATTCATTTTCCCATGGAAACAAGATTTCGGTAGAGGGTTACGTTCCTGAAAAGATGGATTCCCAAGCCTTACTAATTCACATATGACAACAATTACCATAATTAACAACTAATATTCCTTCATATTATTCATCACAAAGCTATCTAAGTGTCAATTAA